CTGACACGTCCAAGGTCGGTGGCACTATGGACATTCTGTGCCGACACCATAAATGGAAGAGTCACTTCCTCTGTCGTCCTCCTTCCTCGTTCACACGCACGTGAGGCGACAGAAAATGCAAAGGTCCGGGTCAGGGGCACCTTAGTCTTCAAAGTGACACCGTTGCCTTGTTAACCCTTTAAAGAGGTCTTGTGCAGCAGATGAGCTCCGTGCAACATGTCATTTGATTTCTTTTCTTTTTCTCATTTGATTTCTTGACCACTGCTTCCATGAGTGTTGATTGTGGAGCCAAATAAAATGGAGAAGAAGAAAAAACCACATTAGATACAAAAATGCTCCTCTCAGAAGTATGGAAAGTAAAAACTGGAAATTGCTTACATTTCTAACAAGAAGAAAATGATTAGATAGTGTCATTGTCACCAGGCTTGAGAGATTTAACATGCCAAATGCTGCTTGAAGCCCTGACTAATAACTCACAGACCCATTGCCATTCCGTCAACTCCGGTCATAGTGGCTCGATAGGACAAGGGAGCACTGCCCCCTGGGGGCTGTACCTCTTTACAGGGGAGAAGGCTCCCCTCTCTCTCGCCGAGCAGCAGCCCCGGGTGTGTGTCACTGCATCCCGAGAACACCTTGCTGGTGACTAGGCGGTCACTGGTCTTCACACTCCTCTCATCACTGTTTGAAGGAGGCCTGTGAGGAACATACAAAGCACAGGAAACGGGTTTGGGGATCAGTGACCAAGAGCAGAGAATCACACGAGTGTCATCCTAAGTCTGTACACACATGCAAATACACTGCATGCATCAACGATGACAAGACCCCAGAGCCAAACACCAGCAGTACTTCCCTGCTAGCAGACCAAGCGACTTCAGCATTTTTTTCAATTTTTCAATGAGTCTGCTGTCTTTAATCTGAAAGGTTACTGTATAGGAAAATTGAATTGGGAGGGGGAGAAGGTATTCGGTTCGATGACTTGTCACATTCTTAAAGGGTTATACTCGTAGAATCACCACCCCAATCAGGACGCATGTTATCACTTTTTTATACGTAAAAAAATAAATAAATTTAGATTACAACATTATGGAGCTGAAAAGTCCAAAGAACATTAGGATCCACCCATTGGTCCAATCCAAGACATTTGGGGGACATTTCCAGGCAACATTTTGCTCACCTTGTACAGACCCGTGAGGTTCCATGGGTTTCTGACCTGTTCCAAGCCTTATTTTGAGAGACTGTCGGGCTGTCACTGGTTGACCACGGCTGGTCACTTATGTCCTCCCCTGGCCTTGTAGACCCCAGTGGGACCATGGCAGTATAAGGAGGAGGGACCCTTTTGAAGAAGAGGAAGCAGGCTGATCATCTTCCCTTTGGTTTCCAGGTGCCTGGGCCACCAGGGCTAGAGGGGCCTCCTGGACCTCCTGTAAGTTTGGAGGGCTTGTCAGCACTTCAGTCCAGGTCTCTAGTGTCCCCTCTCCATGGCCACCATACTCAACCTCCGTGTTAGGACATGATCGCCTTCTCCTTCTGAAGGGTGGGAGGCTCTCATACAAAGGTCTCTCTGCTAGTCTTCCTTCCCACCACCATCACCCGCCACGTTAAGCAGGTGGCATCCACGACACCCGGGGACCTGTCCGTGCCCGGTCCCCTGGACAAACACGGCTGGATGGTACGCCAGGCCCCCGAGACTAGTCCCATCATCCTGTAGGAGCAAAACATGTCACCTGGTTCTGCCCAACATTTGCCCTCAAGCATAGGTAATCTCCCTACCCGCAGTCGGCTGGCAAGATGACCAAGATTGAAATAGGGGACCCGTGAACACCCAACCTCACCGGATGGTGATAGATTGAGCCTCGTAAGCACCAAGCTTCCTAAGCCAACACAGGCCGATCTGCCTCTGCGAGCGAGCTCTGTCTCCCACTGTCGTCGGAGAAGTAATAGTGGTGGTGACGGTGTTTGTTGCTGCCGCCAAGTCACGGCAACGTCATGCACAACAGGGCAAGACCCTGCCTGGCCTGGATCCGCTGTGGGCCGGAGTGTGATCGCTGGAGGGCGGCCCATGGCGGATTTCAGAAGTAGATTCCCAGGCCTCTCTTCCTCGCATCTTAGTCTGGAAGCGTGATTGAAACCTTTCCCGCCTCATAGCCACGAACAGGCCTCCCTGGCACAGGGGCGTGGCTGCGCAGGAGGTGAATTGGCTGGGAATCAAACCTTGATTTCACGAGCATTCTCCCATGCACCTCCAACGCCCTCTAGCTCTGAGAGGCCACATTTATGGACGCTTCCCTGTGTGCCTGGCACGGCTTTAAACACTGTGCCTAGACGATATAATGGGTGCTCTGTTGCTTCCAAGTCCCTTTCCTGAGATGCTGGGTCAGTGTAGGAATCAAAGGGAGATTCTCAGTCAGTTCCCGACATACCAGCCGGAATTGTCCCTGCAGCGCCCTCCCCAGGGATCCTCAGCCTGGCCCCCGTAGCATCCCTTTCTGCTTCGCCCTGGCAGGGACCTCAAGCCAGACTGCACCCAAATCTCTCGCTTACTTTGGGCCAATATGTGCAGAGGGGTGTGGGTTTCACCGGCAAATGCCGTTCTCACGCTCCGTGTTTTGATTCCATTGGCAGGGTCTCCAAGGTGTTCCTGGACCAAAGGTAAGAAGACAGGTGCTGGCCAAGGGGGCAGGGGAGAGCTGGGGTCAGAGGGGGAGAGCTCCCGAGGCAGACGGCCTTGCTGAACCTCTCCCCACCAGCAGAATCACGGGATGCCCTGGCCTGTGGGCAGAGTGAGCTCCTGCGGTCCCTTGAGCCCCGGCCACTGCATCCCACATGCCTAGGATACACAGTCGTCCTCCTCATCCATCAGCCCCACGGAGACAGGCTCGCTGTTAGCCAACGAAGAAAGCCTTACCATTGACCCCCTCCCTCCAGGTCCTTCTTTAATCCCCAACAGAGAGCCAGAGCAACATAGAGGGGGACCCCTCTCCAGGCCATGCCCACAGAATGCAGGGCTGCGGCTCCTCCTGTCTTCCCCCAGGGGCTCCAAAGGCTAGGGGGCTGCTTCCTGTCCTTGTGTCTGCAGAGCACTTGTTTCACCCAACTATTCCGGGAAACTCAGGGCTCGGTGGTGGCCCTCAGACATTGCCAGTCTGCCTGTCAGAACCTGACCTGGCACTGCCCTGTGGGCTTGTCCCCACTCCACCCATCTCTTTCCTTTGAGGACCCCAAAATGAGTGCAGGAAACTGAGGGGGAACCAGGCTAAGAATTCAAGGGTTCTTGGCTTCCCCAGCAACCACCCCTTACCCCGGCCATTTCCACCACTTCCCTCCTCTGCTTGCCACCCAGCCCCCCACCTCAGTCCCCTGCCCAATCCATAATGCATGGGTGCGTGCGTTGTCTGGGGGAAAGTCTCATGTGCCCGTCTCTCTTTCCCTCAGGGGGAGGCAGGACTAGATGGAGCGAGGGGAGAGAAGGGTGCCGCGGGGGAAAAAGGAGACCGAGGACCTCTGGGATTGCCCGTAAGTACCTGAGACCTGACATTGCCTCAGGCCCCTCCATGCTGCCATGAGGAGCCCCGGGGCCCGGGGCCAGGGATACTGGGCAGGGCCCTGGAAGAGGCGCCTAAAGGCCACAGCTTTCCACGCAGCTGTGCTTCCCCACCTGAGCAAGGACTTAGCCTCCAGCCCTGTCGCTGAGAGTCCACTCTGCGCCAGGCCCTGGGGGGGCTACAAAGCTGAATAAGACAGGGTCCTGCCCCCCCCCCGCCCCAGGAGCACCCAGCTGCAAAGCCAGAGGTCCTGCTTGCTCCTAAGTGACAGACAACGGAAGTCGGCCTGATGGGTTCCGAACTGGGAGAGCTTGGGAGCAAAGGGACAGTGGGACAGTCTCCACCTAACTGCTCCTTTTCCAGAGGGACCCCAGACAGCCCCGTGCTCTCCTCAGTGTTGGTCACAACAGACAAGCGTGTAAATAGGGTCAGATCCTTTGGTCCCAGCAGGCAAAAAAGGCCACTCAGCTCTCTGACTGCAGCCAGGCCTGGCGGTACCAGCTCAGCGGCAGATGCCTCTGTTGAGAAAGGGGCTAGGTGAATCCCTTTGTCCTCAGGTTCCAGTGGCCTGGTGTTCTCCCTACCCCCTCACCTGCATCCTGGGCCCTGTCCTCCCTCCCAGCCCATGAACCTGGAAACCGGTTCGTTTTTCGAGAGATAGAGACTAGTCCAGCTAGTCATTTTACTGAACATCCCTGGGGAGAAAGTGAGGTCACATGAGAAGCTTGTAGCCAAGCCAGGCCAGCCCCTCACCTTCCCGGGCCCCAGGCTCAGGTCCAGCACCCCTCCCAGGAAGCTGTAAAGAGCCGGGGAACAATGGGAAGGCCAAGAAAGCCCAGCTTGGCAGAGCCTGAAGGTCTGGTTAATAGAACCACAGCGACCCAAGGTGTAATTACAGCCTCATTAGTGCGGCAACTGCAGGGATGTTTGAGAAGCTGGTGCGCTTGGCAGGCCCCCGAAAGCTGATGATTGGCACAGACATTTTCCCAGGTCTTCAGCTGCATCCGGAATGACTAAGACACCTCCCTGTGAAAAGAGCTTCCCTGCCTCCACTTGACCGCAAAGCTCTCCTTGCCCACGTCCGTGGCCCTCACAACCCTAATGAACAATCCAAAGGCTACCGTGGCCAAGTGGGTAATGGCCACGAGGGCCATGCCAGGGGAAAGACCAAGCACGGTGTCTGAGTTTCCCAGCTTCCGATGGAGCGCGGAGACGGGGAGGCACTCTTTGTAGCTAAAGGAGACAACAGACCGAGCGGATCCACCACTGCCATCGAGGCAATCAGACTCAGAGCCATCCTACAGGACGGAGTAGAACTGCCCCTGTGGGTGCCCGACACTGCACGTCTTTATGGGTGTAGAGCGCCTCACTGGGCTCTTGAGGAGCGGCTGGTGGTTTTGAACTACTGGCCTGGTGGTGGTGGGCAGCCCAAGTGCGACCCGCGATGCCACCTTCTCAAGGACTTCAGGGAGAGCAGAGGGCGTTCTGAGGACATTGGTGCGGTGACAGAATCATAGGGCCCTCTTCAGGGAGCAGCCCCTGCTCAGTTTAGCTATTGCTTGAGGTGAATGGGTGCCCAGTAGTTCTGGGTCTTTCCATTTGTCGAAAGAAGCAGCAAATGTGAAACCTCCTCACTTTCTAAGACTTTCTAACCGACCATGCAAGAGATTTCACTGTTCCCCCTAGGGACCCCTGAACTCCTCTGGTCTGGGCCCTCTAGTCTAGAAGTGTCAAGAAAACTCAGTGTCCATACTGCACAGACCATGACCACAACCACAGAACAATGGCCATCGAGTTGGTTCCAACTCCTGGTGGCCCCAGGAGGATCCGAGTAGAACTGGCCTTTCAGAAGTAGATGGTCAGGCCTCCCCTCCAAGGTGGCCCTGGGTGAGTTCACATGGCCGACCTATTGACTAGTAGTCTAGGGCTCAGCTGTCTGCACCACCCAGGGGTCCCGGCATAGACAAGAAGCTCACTGCCTTCGAGCCAGTGCTGACACCTAGCGGCCCCGTGAGTTTCCCAGACTGGAACTGTGTATGAGAGTAGAAAGTCCAGTCTTTCTGCCTCGGAGCTGCTGGTGGTTTCGAACCCCCCACCATGCGGACCACAGCCCAACACTTCACCACTACCCCACCAGGGCTCCTTTTGCATAGACAAAGCGTGGGGAATTGTAGCTGCTGTTCCACCAGCAGTAGCCTATTCTTCTGGAATTACCCTCTTGACTTCTCCATATTTCACCCAGGGAAGTGGTTCTTCATTCGTTTCGGAAATGAGAACATTTCTGAGAACCAGACCCTCTCTTCCAGGCTCTGATCCCACTGTCTGGGAAGGCCAGGCCTCATCTGGGAGATTCGACTACGCAGCCAGGGATAGGAGTGCTCTAGGACGCGGAGCACATGGCGGCCCGGGGATTAAGTGGCCCTAAACCAGAGGAGGGTCTTCCTCCAGCAGCTTCCCACCCAGCGAGGCAACCTCCTCCCCCCTCTCTCCTGGGGGCCTCCTCTGACCTTTCCAATCCCAAGACAACACTCCTCTCTGAGCCCCAGGAGAGGGCATGTTCTGGAAGTCTTTCAGTGAGGACGCTGGAGAGTGATATATGCTCTTTAAGCTTCCGAGCTGCCCGCTAGTTGGTGTCCCATGCCCTCAAAGCTTTCTTCTAGTATTTAAGGAAAAAAGCCTATCTGGGAACATAGGAACGGACTGAGTGGGTGTTGGCTTTGCCGATTGGAAAGAGCCAGAGAAACGCCTTTCCTATCATTATTCAAGGGCCAGCTCCACCCCCAGCTAACACAGAGGCCATAGGCAGGAAGGACTAGCCCTGGTTCTCCATCTCTCTCCATATTCAGCGCCCATATCCCTTTCCGAAGAGCAGCGAGGCCCCTGGGGAGAGGGGCTCTGAGAGGGAGGAGGGGTGCGGAGATCAGAGCATGCCTCAGCCTGCACGGCCACAGGCGCACACTGCACTCAGCGTCCCCACGTCTGGTTGGTGTCCGTGTCAACGCCGTTCCCTGTCCTCCCAAGCTTACTCTCCCGTTGTGTTTGATGACCAGTGTTTATGTCTGTCCACAGTCACTGCTTCACTCACCTCTGCCCTCCCGGTCCCTTGTTTCCCCTCCCCTTCCTCCCTTCCCCTTCTTTTGGTCAAACCGTTCCCTTCGTGCAGGGAGCTTCAGGTTTGGACGGCAGGCCTGGGCCACCGGTGAGTGTCACTTCTCCATTACCTTCACTCCACCCTGTCCCCAGCCCCGGCCCTGATCCCTCT